TCAGAATCCAGCGCCTTTGCGTTAATATTGCTGAATACGCTTCAGCGGCCGGCAGTCTTCAGGTGTGTCAGATGCGCTGTGGTTCCTTTTACCCGCCCCTGTGTCAGTGGATCAGTAGATAAAATCGGCAGGATGCAGTGGGGGAAACCAGCATCCGACACGCCACGTATGGTGAATGAAGGTGTTTTTAAGCAAGTTTATCTCCTCAAGGTTGCAGAGATTGGAGCGAAGACCGATGAGTATTAAGCATTTTTGGTGTGGGAGCTGCTTGTTTTTTACTACTTTAAGGCCTCATTCACATGAGAAAAGGGCGGCACGTACAGCTCCGTGCTGCGTGCATGGCCGTATCGGGCAGCTCCCGGGAAGGACAGGTGCTGCGTGTGATTTTTAGTACGCAGCTCCTGTCCTTCTCTCACCCCAAGTACAGGTCCGCCCTACACTCACCCTAAGTACAGGTCCGTACGGGAGCGGATCTCCCGGCTCGGACGCAGACAGGGCTTGCAGGGCGGCTGAGCGTAAGGTGGCGTATGGCCGCGTACTCCCATAGAGGAGGACAGGGGCTGCGTACTAATCGCACGCAGCACCTCTCTTTCCCGGGAGCTGCACGATACGGCCGTGCACACAGCACGGAGCTGTACCAGCCGGCTTTTTCTCTTGTGAATGTGTCCATAAAGGCAACAGTCAATTAAATAGTTTAGTCTGACTGACGGAGATTCTTAATTAGGTTGCCCTCTATGTTGATTACAATCAACCTTCTTTATTATGATTCCTCTTATCTGGCTGGCAGCAATTTTTGTTTCAGGTCATCATTGCTGTTAGCACGATTAGAAGTTAAAGTTTTATCCAGAGATAAGGTTAGACCAGGGCAATAGTTTGCGGTGCCTGCCATAGCTGGTAGGTGACAAAAATGTACTGATGCTGCTACAAACCCTAGAAACAGTGCAACATCCACGGTATGGGAAAACGGACATACCCTTGCCTTCCCACATTGCTGTACTGTATGCTTGAGTGGCCTATCACCAGGTGCCAAGTGCTGTTACGTATGGTGCAAGTGTACGAACCTAACCCTATGCAAATGCTGACTTCCTAAAAATCTTTTTTTATTCAGTCTCATTGCTATGATCAGATGTCTTACGATTCCTGTCACTCACCACTAAAGCTGGCTACCTGTCGCAGGAATTTTGTGTGAATCTGTCGGGCCCCAACCACCTCGACAAAGATCCACTGAAGAATTGAAGGAGCCGGCTAGATAATTGTTGGCCGAACAGTTACTGCAGCCAACTCAGCGGCACTTCCTATTCGGGCGTTCAAACGGCCCCGCTCGTGTGGCTCTTTAATTACAATAGCCGCAGTGGGAGATAAATCCATCCACGCTGTTGAGCATAGGTGTGGGAAATCAAGTGGTTGTCTCTTGTTCAGCCCGTGAAGGGGGATTCGGGGAAAGAGAATAGAAATGTGTATAGCCAGCTTCATTGTAGATTAAAACACAGTTAAGCATTAAATGTTATAATCATTTTTGTACGTTGACAGTGGAAAGGCTGCCATCTAATAGGATGTGCACAGAAAGTGTTTTCCTTTAAGATTTCTTCTGTCTGAAAAGACTTTGAGGGGGATTTGTCAAAACTGAAGCAGAGAAAAACTGGAGCAGCTGTGCATAGCAACCAATCGGCTTCTCTTTCGTTTTCAAATCTTAACTGAACAAACTGGAGAGAAGCTGGGTGTCTCGTGCTTTAAAGTGACATTAAACCCTCAGATTTTTTGACATAAACCAATACTGTAATGTGTGCCTTACTGTAATCCATGGTAGTTTCCCTTCTCTTTGCTGCTCTTCCTTTTAAATCCTCATGTCTTCTCATGCTGGGGGAGAACTTCCCTTTGCAGCTGAACTCTTCCTGTAGTGCTGGCTCAGGTTGTGAACCTATACACAGACACCGTGTGTCCATTCCAGAGACAAGGCAGTCTGCTGCAAAACAGAAGTTCTGCCCAGCATGAGAACAGATACAGATTTAAAAGGAAGAGCAGCAAAGAGAAGGGAATCAACCGTGGATTACAGTAATGCACATATTACACTTGTTTTATGTTAAACAATCTGAGGGTTTAATGTCACTTTAAGCCCTAATTCACACTAGAAAAGGCCGCCCTACGCTAACCCACCCTGCACGTGACTGAATGGATCCTGTCTGCGTCCAAGCCAGGAAACACGCACCCTTACGAACCTGCACTTGGGGTGAGCGTAGGGCGGCGTACGGCCGCGTACTCCCATAGAGAAGGACGGGGGCTGCGTACTAATCACACGCAGCACCTGTCCTTCCCTGGAGCTGCCCGATACGGCCCTGCACGCAGCACGGAGCTGGACGTGCCGGCCTTTTCTAGGGTGAATGAGGGCTAATACTTTGAGTCACTGGCACAGGGCAAGCATTTACAGAAGAAAGTAATCTGCAGACTTGTTCCAGGTCAGTAACTGAATGTATAGAGGCTACTGAATCATCATAACGGTCAGGCAACTAGCATTTTCAGAAAGGCAGGCCATCATTAGTGCAGGTTTTATTACGTATCTTAACTGCAAGAACATGAATGGGATATCTTGCAGCGTACCAGTCCTTAGATGTTGTGACTGCTTTTGTTTTCCTTTTTCAGAACCTTTCCCCTAATTTTCACCTAGTTACCCTGCCAGTAGCACGCTTACTGTCCTAGGGCAACAGTTCACTCACTGTACTATAAAGATCTATGGAGAAACTGCATTGTCACCCTAGCACTACAAATCATCCCCCTCCTCATGCCTACAACACAGGTAAGAAATGCTCTGTAGTTCACAGAAGTGAAGAAGGCAGGGCTGACGACAGTGGAGGGAAGACTGCAGAGTGCACAGGACAGCATTCAATTTCTGGAAGTAACAGCTGCTATTTTTCTGTACATTGAAAATAAAACATGGGGAAATGTCCTTGTATTGAGGCGCTGAACGGAATCCCTGTCGGGTACTTTGCTGCAGAAAATAAAAGCTACATTCTGGTGCTGTGAACAGCAGTTTCAATTTGTTTTCTTAAGCTCTTACGGCTTTAGCTTGCGCATGACCATGTGCACGTATGCGTTTTCGTAGGCAGGTCACTTGCTGAAAGTTATTTTTTTTTTTTCTCTAGAGTACTCCCAGGAAGCCACGTCTGATAATTTGGAGGAGGAGCTTACTGTAGCGCCCAGATGTGATGCCAGCAGCGAGGAAGAGTTCATAGAATCTGCTTCTGCCGTGCAGGATTTTGGCAAGCACCAGAAACTCATCCCACCCCGATTTCAGAGGCAACAGCAGGTAAATCTGCATTTATTATCTTTTTTTCTTTCCCTTACTACAGCCAAGACACCTTGCAGCAGTGTGAATGTCAAATTTTGCAGTGTACAGGGTCAGCACTTACCCAGAAGTCTGCAGGTGCTCTAGAGAACAAATCTGTTCAAGGAAAAGAAGTAATGAAATTGGTTCATTCAGCAGCATTTTTCTTTTGAGTTTCTGTTCAACTTTACTTGCCATGTTTCTCCAAGCAGTGGGTGGATTCTGAAATGGCATCTGTGTGTGAATGTCTCAGACACCGGCATGTGTTCGCTCACCTCCCGATCTACTGAGCCGACCTGTGACAGTCTCATTGTCACAGGTCGGCAAGAACTATGAGGTGAGTGAAAAGCACCCACCTGATAGTGCTCCTTTTAACTCTGATTCTATATTATAAAGACCCCATTTTGACTCTTAATAGAGCACTATTCCAGGCTTGTAAACTGGAAAGCAATGACCCCTTTGTCCACAAGATTTCAATAGTGATTGGATGTGGGCCAAATGGAGAGGACAGAATTCAGGATTACATCTAACACCCTGGCCTGAGTGGAGGGGTTGATGTGCTGCTGTTTGCGATGGAGAAGTTGAGACAGTGGACATGGGTGGGGAGGAAATATCATGAACTTAGTCTTGGACAGATTGTTTGAGGAAGTGGTGTGACCTCTATATTGATATGTCCTTGAGTAAATTTATTTCAGAAGGTGACGGGAGGAGTCAGCTGAAGAGTACAGAGATTTGGGTGCTGTCAGCACTCAGATGTTGGAAGCCCTGGGAAGTAATCAACTGAGTAGGTGTAGATAGAGAATATAAGGAGGCCAAGGACCAAGCCTGAGGGTGGAACGACACACCCCCTACGACCCCTACAGAAAGGAAGAGGAGATAGTTATAGGTGACACTGAAGGTGCCCGTAGATGGGAAGGAGGAGAACCACAGTGAAAGAGCACACATGCGGAGGAGCCCGTGCTCGGCTGTGTTAAAGGCAGCAGAAAGGTCTAAGCATGGGAGTATGGAGTAGCCAGATTGGAAACGGTCGAGATTGTTAACAGTGTGGTGGTTGGCTCAGATGGTTGTAGACTAGCAGTTTAAGTTTGGAGGTACACAGGAGCAAGGAGATGGGTCTTAAGCTCAGATTGGTGGGGTCCAGTAAACCAATCTTCTTGATTGGTACGCAGTAAGCTGACCCCAGAACAGGAGCTTACACAGTACAATGCAGTACACCCTGCTGCAAACTTTGCCAACATATATGTGACAGGAATGGAGCGAGTCACAATAACAAAACCTACAGCATTAATGGGTCATACTCATGCACATCTGCTAACGTAGTGTGCATGATACAGTGTTCAGCATGTGACAAAGGTTGTTACATCGGGGAAACTGGCCTTAGGCTGCAGCTCAGGATGAAGCTACACGGGAGCTGGATCAAGAACCACAAAGAGGATGAATATTGCACTCCAGTAGTACTTCTCCCAGAAGGATCACTCCATCCAAAACCTCAAAATGAAAGTACTAAAAGGGAATTTTAAAAACTCTCATGAAAGGAAAACATTTGAGATGAAAATGATTTTACATTTCCACGCCATAAAGGAGGGACTTAATGTGGATTCTGGTTTTTTGATACATTGCCAGAACCTTTTATGAATATACAGAACATTATAATCATGTATGTCGTATATTTCTGATCTGTTTAGGGTTTATTGGTCATCCTATGTTTACTTGTTCTGTGTTTTAGTTATCAGGATACATTATTTACTCCCAGGTACAACATTTATGTTTACCTCCTCCCCCCCTCCAACAACTTTCTCTTGCTATAAGTGGTAAACTCTTGTCATGTTGATTAGTATTGCTTTTGACCTGAAGAAGAGAGGTTAACTCTGGAAAGCTTGACTTTTAAATAAAATGTTAGTCCAATAAGAAAGGTATCATTGCACACTGCAATACAAAGTTCCTGATGCAGGAATCCCTAACTGCACCTAAACTTTCAGATATGAATGGGGCCGTATTGGGGTCTGTAGTACCATACCGGATATAGTTGCATTTTATTTTGAAGTATGAAATTTGGCATGCTGCCCCGATGGGAGAAAAAAAATTGTCACGTGAAATGAGTTTGAGATCCCTGGTCTAGACGGTGCTGCGGACATCAGAGCACTTTGGCTGGATTCTGAACATCAAGAAGTAGGGATGCACCTATATATTTGCCGCCGAAACATATCGGCCGAATATGGCCGAGAAAGTGACAGACGGCCGAGCTCTTCGGTGGAGAGCTCTGTGATCGGCCGGCGTCTCCTCCCACACCGCTCGGCCGCCTATCACAGTCCGGCAGAGCGGTGTGTGGGTGGTAACAGCGCTGTCACAGGAGACTGGGCTTTCCTCTCTACACTGCTCGATCAGCCTCCTGTGACAGCGTGTCATAGAGAAGAGCAAGGTACACACACTCAGCGATCACTGATCTCTGAGTGTTTTTACATAATTGAGGATATGGTATGTGAACTATATCCTCAATTATGAATAAATGGGAGTGATCTACATCACCCCGATTCATTCATGATTGTGGTTATAGTAAACACACAATGTTCTCATGGTATCAATGAACAGGAACACTCATAGAGGATTCCTGTTCATTGATAACAAGGGACACAGAAAAAGAGATTGAGGACTTTCAATCTCTTTTTCTATTTTAAAAGGGAAATATCAGGGGTCTGTTTAGATCCCCAGTACTTCCCAAAAGCCCCTAAAAGTAAAGTAAAAAATAAAAATATTTAATACAAATTAATAAATATAAAAAAATTAAAGTTTATAAAAAATAAATAAAATATTTGAAAAAAATAAAAAACATTTTCGGTTTCGGCCTGACATTTTTTTTAAATTTCGTTTTCGGTTTTACAATTTCCATTTCGGTGCACCTCTATCAAGAAGTCGTCCCTAGTTTCCTCACATCGCTTGGAGTATTTGGGTCTTCTGTTGGATACCCATTAAGCAAAAGTGTTCCTTCCTTAGAACAAAATATTGCAGTGTTGCGGGATCAAGTTTGGTCGTTTCGATCCCGTGCGGGCTCTTTATCTGTTAGCCACAGCTCCCTTTAGGCGTTCAAAATCTTTATTTGTTTTGCCTGAACGTCCTAGAAACAGGATTTTGTCTTTACCGTAAAATCCTTTTCTTGGAGTCCATTGAGGGACACAGCTTTGAAGAATTCTGAGACGCAAGGACGTTCAAAAACAGTCCAACAAAGGAGTGGGCACCATACAAAACTAGAAGAACCAGCTCAAATGCTCAAACAGCTGCCTGAAGAACGTTTCTGCAAACACTAGCATCAGAAGAGGCAGAAAGATCAACTTTAAAACCTTAGCAAAAGTGTGACTAGAAGATCAAGATCCAATCCGAGTAACAGGAACTAATAGAATGAGCAGAAAACAGGAAGAGGAGAACCCATTTCCCGCAATTCATAAGCTTCAATGACCTATTCACTTAGAAACAGCAGATCTAGAATCTGAACATTGTTTTTATGCTACTCAGATTGGCTCTGCAGCGCAATGTGACTTTCAACTTTAGAGGATCACGCCAGAAGCTTACTATAAGACTGAGTACATGGTCCCCTAGATGCTGCTTCCGTTTCTCTTCGGTAGACAAAACTGTTTGCTCTGTGAGGAAAAGCTCAGGGAGGGTTAGAACCTTTGCGCTGCGCAAACTGTTGGCGCTATATAAATCCTGTATGAAGATAATGTCGGATTTATTTTTTTTCTGACTGTCCTGGTCAGATTTACCCTTTCTGCTTGTGTGTCCTTAAAACATTGCCACTGGAGCAATAGGTGAGGAAATGTTCAACAGTAGACCTTGGCAGAGGAGTAAAGCAGAAACCATCCTTTTATATTCCACCCTCTGTCCCAAAGATCTTTTTTTTTTCTTCTGCTGGAGATCTACACATTTGCTGCTGAGGGTTAGGTTGCGATAACACCTCTACTATATATGTTACATGTTCCCATTCACATGGCATAACAAAGGATCAAATATTTCAGGGCTTGGATTCTGTATTGTATATTATATATACACTTAAAAGAAGAAAAAAACTTGCGTTTTTCTTGCTGAAAACTCTCAGCTTTTCCTTCTGTCTGAGGGGGCTGGGGAGTTGTTTACCATAATTAACCCTGTCACCACTGTTATGCCAAATTCTGTTATCAGTTGTAAATTAGATGTGAACACAGTTTGTCCTAACAAAGGATCAAATATTTCAGGGCTTGGATTCTGTATTGTATATTATATATACACTTAAAAGAAGAAAAAACTGTCCCAGTCTGTTCCCTGTTTCCACATCTAATCAGGGCAAAATAAGCTGCCCATAGAGTCCTATGTATAATCCTGCTCCAAAGAAACAACTAGTAATGTGAATTTAAAAAAAAAACTTTTTTAGGTATGCTGTGTGAATGGGAAGTCATTACAAACATAGTGGGGGGGGGCCTCAAATATAACTGCAAATACATTTTAAGAGTTAAACTATAAACACACATTCGAAAATAATACTTCAACGTTTTGGGCTTACCTATAGGCACAAGTTTGGCCTAGTCGCCCATGACACGAACGGTGCCAGCTCTGAAAACTGCTTTACTGTTTTTTTTTCAAGTTTTTTTTGAAGTTGTGTATGAGTCTTTCCCACTTTATTTGCATGATACCATGGCATTGGTTGGAAGGATAGATAGGTTGTTCGAAGTGAGGTGTGAAGATTGTTGATGGATGATGTAAAAAAAAAAAAGCATGCTCATAGAGGGATAGCAGTATGTGCCTGGAGTTTTGAGGCCAATTACCTGTTTTTGATTGGTGGGGGCGGGGGGGAGGTTGGCATCAAAGTACAACTCTGATTGACACACAGGCGTTCCATAGACAAACTTCTAAAGCTTTTATTGTAATATTCATGTGTAAATCCCACCTCAACCTAACCACTGAACCATCACGTTCTCAAACAATTCATCACCAAACAGCTACCTCATGTATCACTTGCCCCTCCCTTTTAGATTGTAAGCTCTCAGGGGCAGGGCCCTCCTTACCATCTTGTCTTGAATTGTATTGTGATTGCAATGTCTTCCTTATATTGTGAAGCGATACGCAAACTGTTGGCGCTATATAAATCCTGTATAATAATAATAATAAATTGTGCAGAGCATATTAAATTAAAATTAGGTTTAATGTTGAGGACAAACGGTTGAATTGTCTTATACCAAAACCTTTTATACTGAAAATAATTCCCTGCCCCTAGTTTCCGCATATTTTTGTTTTTTTAAAGGCTGTACATGTACTTTAACCCCTTCATGACTGAGGCCTTTTTTTCATTTTTTGTACCCATGTTATATTCCACATTTTAGGCCTGAAAATTACTTAATCGACCTCCTCCCCAGCGACAGGTGAGTCGCCAGGATCGCTTCTGTTGTAAAGCCGACAGTCGGCTCTACAAGTTTAAACAGAGTCCCGGCGGCAAAAGTCACCGGGAGTCTGTTTAAACAGCCCCGATGCTGGCGACGTACACTGTACGTCGTCAGTCACGAAGGGGTTAAATGTTATCTACAGATTTTTTCTTTTTCATAATGAAATGTGCATGACAGGTATTGATGTAAGTAATCGTGCCTTTTTCAGGAGCAGTTATACAAGATGCAGCAATGGCAGCAGCAGGCGGCCTATGTGGCGTCTACGCATTCCAACCCTCCTCGCACCTTCTACTCCCACCACCCGCAGATGCTGGGCTTTGACCCTCGTTGGATGATGATGCCTTCCTATATGGACCCTCGGATGACTCAGGGTCGTACTGCTGTGGACTTTTATCCCTCTTCTCTTCATCCGCCAGGTAGGTAACCAGCATTTGGTCAACACAGAAAAAAAAGAGTGGCGCTTTTAGGGTACCAAGTGACAAAAACCAAGCAATTACAACATGATAAAACAAGGTTTCTTTATTATACCAAGGTTAAAAAATGTTTAAAAAACATAATTGATATGTACACATTTCAGAGAAGGAAAGAGCAAATTGATCTCCAAATGAACTATTGCAGAATTATAATCTGAGGCTAAATGACCGTAACACACAAAATTGATGCAACACACTCTTGTACTCATGCAGCACATAGATGCCTCTTATATCAGGAATAGTATTTTTTCTCGAGGCATTTCGCACTCCAAGCGCTTCCTTGGGAGATAAAGGAGATCGTGCCTGGCCGCAAGAGCCCAAGATCGAGGCGTGCCCAAGGACATAAAGGACCCCCCCTAAAAAAGGAGATTGCCCCACTATTAGGGGTGTGTTACCTTTTATATTCAGGATTTTGTCACGATAATGTGATTCAACCAGCATTTAGTAAACTGCAAAGCAAAAATTTGCTCTGTGGCCTCCTGGTATTCCAGCTTCAAATAGACCTTACCACTATTGAGTATTTTTTTTAATTAGTACTAAGAGATGTGTTCATGAAGGGGCTAACACACTTAAAGTACACATAGACCTGAAGTGGCAGTTGCCGGTAGCATTCTCCTGTCTGGGCAGCTTTTGGTAGCCTTGCCTTACAAGTCCGGAGAAATTTTAAATCCCCGCAACCTGTGCTGAGAATGCACTGATGTTTAGTAAGCATAATGCTTGATAATGAAAATGAACACTTTGTGTTACAATTTGTCTGGACTAATGAATGGCGTTTCTGTTGATGCCATCCCTGATGAAGGCATTTGATGCCTCCAGAAACATCCTGGTCTAGTATAGTTGGCAGGTGACATACATAGGGATGAATGTGCATTTTCGACCTTTAAAGGTGCTCTTTAGCCTTCACAGAAATGTAATTGAAGTTAACCTCTAATGTCGCTAGGTGTCACGGCAAAAATGTCATTTAAACACTTCTAGCTATAAAAATGCACCTACTGTACATTGCTTTTAATACTAACGTGTGCTTGTCTTGTTAAGGTGTGATGAAACATTTGATTCAGCAAGATTCTGTGGGTGGAAGCTGTCAGGCTGATGACTGCCAGTCTGCCCTGCCATCAGAACGCAGGTGTGCAGAGCCGGTGTCGGTATGGAACCAGGATGGCTACGTCCACATCCAAAGCAAAGTCTACTCTGTGTCACAACAGAAGCAGATGGAAAACGCAATGGAAGGAGGTTACAACAGGTAACATACCTCTGATGGTGATCCTGTTGATAGTAGAATTTAAAAAATGTCAGTATTGCATCGGCTGACCTGTTAATAGTAGATTTTTAGAAATGTCAGTATTGCATCGTCTGTCCTTTCTTAATTGCCCTACTGCTTGTGAACCCTCTTCAGGTGTAGTACCTTTCCCATCTAACATCTGTTCCCTATCAGCTACTAATCCTTTAGTAACTTGCTGCTGTTGTATCAGTGCTTTCTACCTGTGTCCGCTGTATTCCCGCAGCCACTGAACAAGTTTATTGTTATCTGTTCTTCCTATTGCCTAGAACACTCTGCTTTGTACATCTTCATTCAACTACTGATCCTTGTGCTTGTCATTCCTCACCTCTATTGATGTTGGGCGGTTCTCATTTAAATCCTTGCCTTCTGCTCTTTTATAGTTTAAGCCTGTGTTTGCTAAAGGGCTGCAGCTAACGATTATTTTCATAATCGATTAGTTAGCCGATTATTAACTTCGATTAATTGGCTTTAGAAAAAATAATTTAAAATAAAATATGCGTCGGTACCTGACATGTGAATGGACCTCCCCTTCTTTGATTGAAAGCGGAAACGTCTGGGTACGTCTGGTGAGTGCATTATTAAACAAATAAGGAGCACGGACTGCTGCCACTTTGAGATATATACCCAAAAGAAAACTGTTTAATCAAGTGTTAAAGGAGCGGACACTTGTAACACTGTGAGATGTCTTATCGGACGGAAGGACGGAGGAGCAGCAGCAGCGGAGGTACAGGGGGGCAGCGGGGGATTTCATAGTCACGGTCGCAGTCTCTTCTCCCCTCTCGTGTCCGCTACAGTGGTCTGTGAAATGGACTTTTAGGTAAACAGTACAAATAGTACATCTAGGCACATAGGAATCATTTATGATTCCTACTTTTTTGCTGAAGATGTAGGTTACCTTGTGCCTTAAGATCATGTAAGTAGCCCAAAAAGTATTTTTGAGCTCACTGATTTGTTTTCTTGCTTACAGGAATGACAATGTGTATGCCACTTCAAGGGAACGATCAGAGGGCATACACAACCACCATGAACCTTTAGAAGAGCGAGAAGAATATTTACCATCTGGCAGTTATGAAAGGAAACCTAGTGGGAATTATAACAGCTGCATTTCACCTCAGAGAAGGGGTCATGATGTCCCGTACCAGCAAACAGAAAGTTTGTCAGAGTGTGCAATAAGCAAGGGGCAGCAAGCTGGTGCGCAGTCTAGGACCTCTGACTTTGTAAATAAGAAAGCTCAGTTTAATGGCTGGGGCTATGGACATCAGAAGTCTTTAGATGCATCCAGTAGTATAGAAGAGGAGCTTTCTAAAGACGAGCAGGCAGTGGGGTCTGAAACATGGAATAAAGATGATGGTACAACACAGGACTCCACTGGAGAAACAGGTTGGCGAATGGAGCCAGCCAACCCCAATAACCAGCAGCATTTGGAAAATGCTGGGAGGAGCAGGCGCTCAGGTCCAATAAAGAAGCCAGTTTTAAAGGCTCTTAAGGTTGAGGAGAAAGAGCTGGAGAAGGTAAAGCCTGAAACAAAAGAACCCGTTCAAACAATGAAAGAAAAGCTACTCTCTAAGCTGGACAATGTGGCCAAGGTGGAACCCCCTGCTCTGAGTTCTTCCTCCAGCTCAACAATAGAGGACAAGCCTCAGCCACAGCCTCCTGTCCATGATTTGGAGAAGGCCCCTCAAGAAACAAATGAGAGAACCTGGAGCAGTAAGCCAGTTTCCCATGAATCAAATCCTGCTCCTCAAACCAAGAAGAGCAATTGGATTTTCATAGATGAAGAGCAGGCTTTTGGTAGTAGGGCCCAAGGTCGTGGTAGAGGCAAAGTGTTTAAAGACTTTACTTTCCGTGGAAGAGTGTCTGCTGGCTCTTACAATGGACAAAGAATGGGCAGAGGCCGAGCTCTTCGGGAGTTTAATCCTCCTGAAGATTTCAGGAGTAAGGTTTCCCGAAGGCGGGTGGCTAGTGAAACGCACAGTGAAGGGTCTGAATATGAGGAACTGCCCAAACGTAGGCGTCAGCGGGGAACTGAGGATAGGAACGAACCCCCCCTTATTGAAAGAGATACTGAAGATACAAAAGGAGACTTTCAAGGTTCCTGGAGGTCTAATAGAAATTATTCAGATGACTCCAATAGTGTTGACCCAAAATCCAGGGCCCCAAGGGCCTTTGGAAGATCCCTTCCACCAAGGCTTAGCAACAGTTACAGCAGAAGACCATTCACATCCAAGGATCCTTCTCAGTGGAATTCCAAATATGCAGGTTCCTCTTGGCAAGAGTACAATGCACAAACTGAGTCTTATGGACCCCGCCATAATACAGACAGAGACTATGCGCATGATTATAGGTATGCTGATTCCTACCATAACAGAGGTTTTGATGAAGCCCAAGATGATAGACGGTCTGTTTTCCAAGATGACTGTTCAGATAAGGATAGTTTGGAGAAAAGATCTTTTGGAAGACGAAGGCCTCCTCGTCAAGACAAGCCTCCCAGATTTCGTCGCCTCAGGCAGGAGAGAGAGCCTGTTGGTCAGTGGAGTGGTGAGGAAGTGAGCAGTGCTGTGAAGGATCCTGACAATTGGCAGACGCGTTCTAAGTTATCACTTGGTGAAGTATCTGGACCGCCAGAAAGGCCTTGCCATAATACTGACCATGTCCATGAAGACTGGGAAACTGCATCCGAGAGCAGTGACTTTAGTGAGAAGAGGCCCGCTGATCTGGATGGTGAGGGGAATATCTCTGGAAATGGCTTTTCTGAAAAAAGAGAGTTATCCAAGAGGAGTTTCTCCAGTCAGAGGCCATTAATGGACCGCCGCAAGGTGGAGCCTTCCAATTATGAAGAAAAGCCATTGAAGGTCAGCGGGAGTTCCCGTAATGACTACCCAAGCTCAGCTTCACTGAAGAGCAGGTATTGGAATTTTATATTTTTGCTGTGCAAGCCTGTATGTCTGTCTGAAAACACTCAGCTAACATGTGTTCACCAGTGCATCAAAAAGTCAATCAGTGGCATGGTAGGGATGTAGTCTTGTATATTTTGTCACAAATTCGATCTTGCAAGCTCAATAGAACTATCTAAGAGATGCTAAAGCTGAACACACCATGAGTATACCAGATAGTGCAGATCAACAATGTGTTTACCATACCACAGTGGTGTATGTCTGATGGTATATGATCTTATACCTTGAAGTAAGCAGCCAGAATGATCATAAATTGATCGAAGCAGATCTACCCTCTGCCAGGTGGACGTCTAACAAACATCAAACTGCGAATGTAAGGGCGCTGCTACCGACATATTTCTGAGGAATGGGTGGAGACCCTCCCCAAAAAAAACCTTGGTGGTGATGGTCTTCCATTTGCTGTTTGATGTCCATTCACAGGTCCTCCTTGTAAGCCTTAGAGTGTTCTGTCATTCAGCTCTTCCCTTTTTATGGCTTTGAGAGGGTGATTCAAAATTTAAGTGAAATGTTGCCAGTGTCCTTTCAGCTTAAATGGGGTGTATGACATTGCTCCCCTTAAACATCTGTACTAATTTACAGGTGAAACTCTAATAATTAGAATATCGAGCAAAAGTAATGGCAGTAATTGCTGCAAAAGGGGCCCAAACCAAGTACTGAGTACATATGCATGCTTGTACTTTTCAGAGGTCCGATATTGTTCTATGTACAATCCTTGTTTTATGGATTGCATGTAATAATCTACTTTTTTGAGGTTGTGGATTTGGGATTCTTGGGGTTTTCATGAGCTGTAAGCCATAATCATCACAATTATGACAAATCACGGCTTGAATTATCTTGCTTTGCATGTAATGAGTCTATCTTGTATATTAGTTTCACCTTTTAAGTTGCATTAGTGAAATAAATGAACTTTGCACGATATTCTAATTATTCGAGTTTCACCTGTAATTGGCAGCTGGTAAAAAAAAATATACAGTGATACCTCGGTTCACAAACTTAATTTGTTCCACGATTCTTGTCGCGAACCGAATCAAACTGCGATCAGACCGCGATCTCGACTAGAGGAAGCCACAACCACGTTTTAGAGCGGGGAAGGTAAAACATTAATTCCTTCAGGGAAAAGTGCAAGTCATTCCTGGATTAGTCACTGCAAGTTTTGCAGTCAAGTGTCAGTCCTAGTGTCACTAAAGCTAGGTTCACACTAGGGATGCACCAATACCGATTCTAGTATTGGTGCAGATGCCGAGTATTTGGGCAAGTACTCGTACTCGCCCAAGTGCTCCGATGCCTAGCCCGATGGTGCCGGTATCAGGAAACCGGGCAGCACGTCATTGCACGCTGCCCGGCTTTCTAATTGGCCGGTAAGCCAGATCCATGCTCTCTCGCCACTTGTGACGAGAGAGCAGGAAGCCGGGCAGCGTGTAATGACGAAGCGCCCGGCTTTCTGATTGGTCGGGAAGCCGGCTTCATGCTCCCTCGTCACCTTCATCCCTGCTAATTGGGAAGCCGGGTGGCACGTCTTTGCACGCTTCCCGGCTAATCAGGAAGCCAGGTGGCGAGTCATTACACGCCGCCTGGCTTCCTGAATGGGACTTTTATTACTCGGTATTCGGTCTTGGCGAGTACCGGGAAAAAAAATATTGGTACTCGATACCGAAATACCTGTATCGGTGCATCACTAGTTCACACCTGGGCTACTGACAATCGTGCGCAAAACCACGTGGATTGCTGGGAGGTCACAGTCGCCCATCACAGCCGATCGCGCTGTGGATGACAAAAGGTACTTGAACTTTTATTTTTGCGATTGCCACGCAGATGTAACCCCATGCCGCGCAGCAACCGCTGTGTGCACTAGCACACGATCGCGCGATCCCGGGACGCTCAGGTCTGAACCTAGCCTAAAACCTATCTGCAGTGGACTTGAATGGACATTTTGCTGCACTGAGGAAAACAGTTCTTGTTTTTTTCCTTTTTTTTTATATATATATATATAGAAACACTACTGCTGACAATATATAAACACTGCAGTCTCCTGCCTATTTTTAAGTTCAAGTAATTAAAGGCTAACTCTGAAAATTACACAAAAATAAGTTTTGCAGTAAGGACAAACCTCTCCTTTCTCTTGTGTCATTCCCGGAGTTGGGCTTTAACCCCTTTATGACCGAGGCCTTTTTATCATTTTTTTTCACCCATCTTATATTCCACATTTTAGGCCTGAAAATTAATTAAAACCCCCAAACATTTATATATTTTCTGAAAGCCAAGACCCTATAAAATAAAATGGTGGCTTGATAAGGAGCGCAACTCCTTATCAAACCCCACACATTTAGTGAAAAATCTACTTAAATGCCCCAAAACACAACAAATTACCATTTTTTTTTAAATACAATATAAAAGATGAGGTTACAACAAGTAAGTAGATACCCAACATGCATAGGTTAAAAATTGTGTGTGTGTCCATGAAACGGTGGCAAACTTCAGTACCCCAAAAAAGTCCATAAATGACGCTTTAAAAGCCCCCACAGGTCGTCAATTTAGAGATACACCAAAAATGCTGGCTGTAGAATTATTGCTCTCACTCCGGTGTGCTCGGCGATACCCAACATGTGTAGCGCGTTTGTCGTTTTCATAAGTAGGCGCATCCGACGCGTGTTTGTGGCAACGCGCATGCTTGCGGGGGACTTTACAAAAATGTGTTTTTTATTTTTCTTAAATTTATTTTATGTAATGTTCATTTTATAAACTGCTTTTTGTTGTTGTTTTTTTTTTTAACTTGCTATCACATAGGGGGGGCTCACAAGCCCCCCATGTGATAGCAGATGGTGGTGACAAGCACTCTTTAAGGTGATGCTCGGGGTCAAGAAGACCCCCCCAGTGTCACCTTTACACTCCAGAAAAGCTGTTGAAGTGCAGATCGCACTTCAATAGCTTATAGCTGGGCTTCAGACGCTCAGCACTGACAGCTATGGGACCGGAAGTGATGCAATCTGCATCACTCCCGGTCCCATAGAACAGGGAGGGGATAGACGAACAGGGGTTCGTCCATCTCCTCCCCAGCTCCCCGCCAACACCAGAGAAGCCTGTCCCGTAGGAGGGGCAATGGAGAGCGGTGGTGGTTTGGGGGACGACGACACCCCGTCACCGGACTGTAGAAGCGACCTGGCGACATCTGAGTCGCCAGAATCGCTTCTATTGTAAAGCCGACAGATGGCTTTACAAGTTTAAACAGAGTCCCGGCTGCTTGAGTCTGTTTAAACAGCCCCGATGCCAGCGACGTACACTGTAGCCGTTAGTCGTGAAGGGGTTAAGATCACACGAGTAATGCTGACCCTAACTTTTAAACTATTAAAACGATTTTCCTCAAGCTGTTCTTTGTTAAGCTGATAAAAAAAATGTAAATGACTGTACATTCCTGAATTAAATGATTTTTTGCATTTTTTCCCCCCACCATTCCCTGCTCGTTTAGTTGCTGTTCTGAAGAGTCTTACGCTCAAGAGAGCAGTCACCATCGCTATGGGATGGAGAGGTCTTCACAGTATGACCATGGAGACGCCTCAGTGAAAAAACCTGAAAGGGACTCCAGAGCCACCGGACTTAAAGGAACGGAGAAATCCGAGGCCATCTCTGGATTTGATCTGAAATATGGAGGTAATCATGATGAAAGGAGTTAACTACAGTATTCTTCCCCTTTATCAATCCTAGGAAGTGTAGCTGTGGTCCTAGAATTAATATTTTGCTGAGAATGAGCAGTGATAGACGTTTACTGCCCACAGCCATACTTGCCTGCTTTGTGTGGCAGTAAATAGAAAGATGCTGGAGTAGCACTTAATGCTCCAAAAATCAGTCCAGCGGTGTCTCCCCAAACACAGGACCCACATATTTGGTTATTTTTGTTTCTTTTGTCTTGTTAGCTTGAAAATTGTCATTGAAGTATTGTAGTAAAAGTAAACCTTGTTTTCTCTTAGTAAGCAAAGTACCAGGTTAACTTTAAAGGAAGAGCCATAAGCATACATAAATCCAATGCCGCTGCCAGTCTTCCATGAGATGCCTGTGCACGCGTTGGCTTTCCGAGCATGGTTAAACTTATTCAGGATTGTGCAAGCTCCCCTTGTCCTATGTGACAGTGATTGGTGACTCTGGCACTTAGAGATGCATTTTGAATAGGCAGTGAGCGTGTCACATCCCCCCCCTTCTTGGAAAGCAGAGATGTGATGGGATGGTAAATACACACACACACACATATATTTATTTTTAGGGATGCACCGATATATCGGTCGCCGAAAATGGCACTTTTGGCATCAGTGATCGCTGAGTGCTTGTAAATAATTGAGGACATGGTATGTTGACTATACCCTTAATTATGAATGAATGGGAAGTGATCTACATCACCTCCTGTTCATTCATGATTGTGGTTATAGTAAACATACTGTCCTGTTATGTCCTCTGTTATGAATGAACAGGAACACTCAGTATAGAGGATTCCTGTTCATTCCTGGGCTGCAGAAAGAGATTGAGGAATCTGTGTTCTCAATGTCTTTTTCTATTTTAAAAGGCCCTTAAAAGTAAAGTAAAAATTAAAATATTTATTAACAATAAATAAAAGTAAAATATCAAAAAATGTTTTAAAAGTTTATAAAAACAAAATATTTTTAAAAATGTGAAAAAGTTGAAATAAATTTTTTATGTTTTAAGTGGAAAATTAGGGGGGTCCTCTTATACACCCAGACACCCATAGCCGGCAAATACGGTATATATCTCTATAGATATAGATCTATATCTATAGATATATATAATACGATTGTCATATACATACCTAATAATAGTCAAAGTACAGGTTCCAGTCCAGTTCTAGTATCTATCCTTTGCTTGGTTCAGGTTTTGCTGACTGTTTTCCAGATTCTGTTATTGAGGAGCAAGCCGACATGGGAGGGGAGGCCTACTCAGACATGAACAGCAAATCCCGTCGTGCTCTAGACAAAGATCGCAGGAAAAAGGATCAAGTTGTTCAGGTTGGTCATCTGCCCTGTTACATTTTTACTCTAGATATTAAAACCTCTCATCTTGAACTTTCTGATGTGTTAGCCTTTCAAAAAGAATAGTCGAAAAAAAATCCGGTTTGCAATAGTACGGTCACTTTGATCTGCTAGAGGCATGTATACATAGCACTCTTAAAGTGTGCCTTCAGACAAAACCCATCGGGTGTTATTCTTGTCTGTCCCCATTAGGAAGTTTTACCCTCTATATTTATCTAGGTTATCATTGTCACTGGGGCATAAAATGTGATCGGAAATCCAAAATATTACAGTGGTTACTGGAATAGAAAATGAAAGGAAATCTTAAAATGAGGACACCTGTTCCATTGACAACTATCTATCGAGAGGTTTTTTTTCACTTCAGAAGGGTGTTGCATTCCAGTACAGGTCTATTGGAATGCAAGCCCTGCAGATCAAGAGTTGTTTAAATTGTAGGTCAAATGCACCTTTTAATAAATTCTGTATGATCGCATAATCTAATGTCATTGACGCATCCCTTCTTTAAGCCTGAGTCGCTTGGCTTTCGGTTTATCACTTTAGTTTTGTAGAGGGCTCCATTCATTCCCTATTGTAATTCCATTGCAGAAAGTGATGGGAAGTACAACTAATGGGACACAGACTGCGGGGGAAAAAAACATTCCCTACTCTATCCCAAACTGAAAAGGGTTTGGCTAAAGAGTCACTTGCCTATCAGTAATTTGTCAAAGTTTGTATGATTGTGTTTTTTCCAGTTCTCTTTTAATGCCCATTTCTCTGCTTAGGTGCCTAATAAGAGTACCAACATACAGTCCAGAGTGCCACCTCGCTTTGCCAAAAAGCAGAACAGTATGTGCATGGATCAGACAGATGTTGCAGGCAAAGAGATCTGGGAGAGCAATGGCCAAGGTATATTTTCCCGACAACATTTCTATGAATATTGCTAGGCTAAAATTCAATAATTCAGTAGATTCTTGATGATTGTCAGGCAGCATCCATGACCAGCTTCTGTGAAAGGTGGGAACATACCCATAAGTCCTTTGTGTCTATTGCTCTCCATTTTCAGGTATCTCTGTTCAGTCTGGCAATGATACATGGAGCAAGCCTGGAAGTACTTTCAGTGCAGAGTCCTCCTCCACTGAGGTAAGTTCCATTCCTCCTGCTTTTATTGTTTAAAGGAAAGCATTTCCAGCAAGCACAAATTTTGTTTTCTACTTTTATAAATGATTGCTCTTCCATAAATACTGTGACATACGATATCAGCCACTTAGGGAGTATATTGTGTTCATGGGTCCATAGTGTTCACTTTGTGAGCAGAAGCAGCACAATTTTGTGTAGCACTGAAAAGCAGGAAGCTGGTTCTTCATATAAAAAAAAAACTAATATGGCCGTCCTCACATATATAATTACAAACTATATTATATCATTAACACTTATTGATGAGATTTACCTTAAGCTCACCACACCCTGCAGTCTCCTTGGAATTTGCCAAATACTGTATATAGTGCAAGCGCCTACCTGATTGGATGCAGGTTGATTGTATGGTTTTGGTAGGTCCTCGTATTACATAGTTTTGGTAAATCAATAGAAGATTGTACAATAGGATTGTAAAAGTTTGTAGTAAGCTTTAACCGCTTTGGGACCACCCATTGTAAAAGAAAGTCCTGTTCTGAAGTGGGTTTACCAAGAACACGGCTGCTGCTGCACAACCGTCGGATCCCCTGTACAGTGCGGTGCTGTGTGCCCTCCGCCACCGCCTGCGGCTTCCCTGGACTCCACTGTGCCCCATGCGGGCCTGGGACCGGCATGGCAGGTCTCCCCTGACTGCTCAGAGAGAGATCAGCAGGCTTCCAGCCACTGACCTCTCCTTAGATCAATGGCCTGGAAGAGATGTGTATTACATCATTTCCGGTTTCACTGTGTACATTCTCTGGCTCTTAGAGCCAGGAGAAGAAGCCGGGGAAGCAGATCTCTGCTTCATCAGCTTCCTTGGGGTCCCTAGGTGACATTAGCAGTCTGAAAGATCCCTGATGTCTCCATAAAGAGGACCTGTCACTCTATATTTGCTATTACATAGGGGGCTTCTTAGCCCCCTATGTAATAGCAAATAGCTTCTTAGCCCCCTATGTGATAGCAATAGTGTTGAGTGTAAAAAAAAATTAAAGTAACATAAAAAAAATGCAAAAATAAATGTTTTTTTAAAGGCTCCCCCGCCCCCACGTGCACACACACAATAACACAAGCATGCTCCGGGAACGCCACACATGTTACGTATCGTTGCAAGCGCCGTAGTGAGAGCAATAATTGTATGGCCATAAATCACCGGTACCAAATTACCAAAATAATTGGGTATTATATTCTTTTTCTATGCACTAAATTTCATTTTAGTGTATGTTATCCTAAAAATACTAGTTTGATAAACATTTGCGCAAATACCGTGCGACATAAAAAATTGCAACTAGCATCTTTTTATTCTACAGGGCCTCTGCTTTCTGAATCTGTTTTCTAGCCCAAAATTCTGATTTTAACGTGTGTGCAAATGTAAGAAATTGCTCTGGCCAGGAAGTGGTTAAAGTGAAAAATACTGCATGTAAATGGTGGTGTTCAATGATCAGTGCATTCCATGTTCCAATAGATCCTGCTGTTATGTACTCAGGAGGGACTTGAGCATATTTTTGACACAGAGAGACTTGGCTTTGCCAAAGATGAGATGAATGTTTCGGTCATTGAACATCCAAGGCATTTAAAAAAAGGTCGTTAGGCCTCCTTCCTACAGCATACGGTCCGCCGTTCAAATCTGTGCGGTGTGCACGGCCGTATTGGGCCATTTCCGGGAAGGACAGGTGCTGCGTGTGATTGTACCCTATGGGAGTACGTGGCCGTATGCTGTCATATGTTCACCTGAGCTGCACATCCATGCGGTTGTCTTTGCTCGGACCCAGACAGAATCCATCCTGTCCGAGTACGGACACCCGCATGGATGTGCAGCTCGGGTGAGCGTACGGCCGCGTACTCCCACAAAAAGGAACAGGCTGCTACAGTGGGGCTACCCCTGCACTGAACTGTCCCTAGACAAAACGAGCACTTAACCCTTGCAGTGTGGGGGTAGCCCCTCTACAAGGGTTAATTTTTCATATACTCAGAGTTCTTTCATTCACACTGCGCATGCATTGTTAATTATAAAATGCAGGCCGCCATGTAAAGTCTGCAGTTTCCCATAATGCTTCAGAATATACTCAGACTGGAGGAGAGGCTTGCCGCATAACCGGCAGGTTATGTAACCAGGCGTTCCTGCCCCCATTGCTTTTTTTAAAAATATATTTTATTATCCATTCATAGACATGAATGAAGCTTTGTTCATAGTCACAAAGCAATTGACTTGCTAACCACATTTGTATAAAATTTTTTAGTATGCCATGTTAAGGCCATATCCGCGGCTTTAAAAATGTGGTGCTATGTGTACTTTACCGTAGGGGGTCCATATATAAAACAAGGCATTTCCTAAGCGCCACCCAGTGGTCATAAGGTGCTGCAAATCTCATTTGCAGAGATGCTCAGCAGACATTTTATAAATAGACCCCCTAGTATGAATAGCTTTCTTATAGACAAGAGTAGCGGTCTTGATGTTTTTATACTCACTGCTAAAACATCTTAGTGACACTAAACTCTGGAGATAAATCTTAAAAATACATTCTAGGACCTTAACTTTTAATAAAAATGTAGCTTGTTTGTGTATCACTCGGCTGTAAATCCTCAAATCATCTCTGAATTGGTGCTGACACTGTCCTTCCTTCTGGAGGGTGGCTACTTTTGTTCCCCATGGTCCCTGTGTGTGTTGTAAAGTAGTCACCGCTCCAAGCTCAGAAAGTACAATCTCATTACAAATTAGTAAACTAACAGGTCTATTCACAAAAGGGTGAAGAGTTTGGAGAAGGCAGAAGAAGTGAACAATCTATGTCAGGGGTGGCCATTAGGTAGATCGTGATCTACCAGTAGCTCTCAAAGCTGATGCTGGTAGATCACGAAGGGTGTGAATGGCGGCCCCTTTATTCCATTTTGGTATATTTATTTAGCTGTGCACACATGATTACCTATTAGCCCGAGTCTGCTGTGCCAAGCTCCCTGACACCTTTCTGGTGGATACTGGTGGGTGAAGTGCTATGTATTACATCAAAGAATATTACTTTACACAGCCTGTTGCAAAATACAGCAAGGTGAGACAGGAGAGACAGACAGGAGAGAGAGGAGAGACAGCCAGGAGGATGAGCGTGGAGAGACAGCCAAGAGGATGAGCGTGGAGAGACAGCCAGGAGGATGAGCGTGGAGAGACAGCCAGGAGGATGAGCGAGGAGAGACAGCCAGGAGGAGGAGCGAGGAGAGACAGCCAGGAGGATGAGCGAGGAGAGACAGCCAGGAGGAGGAGCGAGGAGAGACAGCCAGGAGGATGAGCGAGGAGAGACAGCCAGGAGGAGGAGCGAGGAGAGACAGCCAGGAGGATGAGCGAGGAGAGACAGCCAGGAGGAGGAGCGAGGAGAGACAGCCAGGAGGATGAGCGAGGAGAGACAGCCAGGAGGAGGAGCGAGGAGAGACAGCCAGGAGGATGAGCGAGGAGAGACAGCCAGGAGGAGGAGCGAGGAGAGACAGCCAGGAGGATGAGCGAGGAGAGACAGCCAGGAGGAGGAGCGAGGAGAGACAGCCAGGAGGATGAGCGAGGAGAGACAGCCAGGAGGAGGAGCGAGGAGAGACAGCCAGGAGGATGAGCGAGGAGAGACAGCCAGGAGGAGGAGCGAGGAGAGACAGCCAGGAGGATGAGCGAGGAGAGACAGCCAGGAGGAGGAGCGAGGAGAGACAGCCAGGAGGATGAGCGAGGAGAGACAGCCAGGAGGAGGAGCGAGGAGAGACAGCCAGGAGGATGAGCGAGGAGAGACAGCCAGGAGGAGGAGCGAGGAGAGACAGCCAGGAGGATGAGCGAGGAGAGACAGCCAGGAGGAGGAGCGAGGAGAGACAGCCAGGAGGATGAGCGAGTAGAGACAGCCAGGCGAGGGAGTTTTTTTTTTCCGTTGGTAGATGTCATGTAGCTCGTTATTTGAAAAGTAGATTGTTGGCAACCCTGATCTAGGACAGCATAGCTGAACTGGAAAGTGAGCTGAATTGGAGAATTGTTCCAAATCGGCTATTTTTGCCTAGTTTGTTCACTCCTCCTGTTTTTTTTTTGCCTAGTTTTCCAAACTAGGCAAAAATAGCTGATTTGGAACAATTCTCCAATTCAGCTCACTTTCCAGTTCAGCTATGTTGTCCTAGATTGTTCACTTCTCCTGCCTCCTCCAAACTCTTTTCTGAATAACCCTGTAAATGTGAGCTTGGAGTGGTGACTACTTTACAACACACAGGGAGCATGAGAAACAAATGTAGCCACCCTCCAGAAGGAAGGACAGTGTCAGGATGAATTTGAGATGATTTGAGGATCTACAGCCGAGTGATACACAAATGAGGACAAAGGTCTTTCTTCAGTTTTTGTTTATATATTATAATCAACATTTTAGCCCTGAAATTTACTTTAAACCCCCAAACATTATATATTTTCTGAAAACCAAGACCCTATAGAATAAAATGGCGGCAGTTGCAATTTTTTTATGTTGCATGACAGTAGCACAACTTATTATCAAACCCAAGAATTTATTGAAAAATGCACTCAAGTTAAATTTATTAACCCCAAAACACTATATACAACAATTTTTTTTCTTTAAGGTGATGCTGGGGATCCAAGAGACCCCTACTATCACCTTTACACTCTAAATAAGCTATTGAAGTGTAGATCACACTTCAATAGCTTATTGCTGGGCTTCAGGAGCCCAGGAATGACAGCTATGAGACTGGAAGTGATGCAATACGTGTCGCTCCCGGGCTCATAGAACAGGATCGTTCACCGATCTCCTCCCCAGCTTCCCACCGAGAAGCCAGGTTCCGGGCCCGTAGGAGGGG